TTGTTTTTTGTCGTTATAAGCGTTGGTTTTTGTCGTTATAACCGTTGGTTTTTGTCGTTATAGCCGTAGGTTTTTGTCGTTATAGCCGTTGGTTTTTGTCGTTATAACCGTTGATTTTTGTCGTTATAACCGTTGGTTTTTTCTTCTTCTCTCGTAACTGACACAAAAATAACCACTCACATCTTCAGCGGCCAGCTTCTTCTTCACCTCTCCGATTAAGAACCGCTCCATCCCGTTACCGGCGGTGCAGTAGTAGCGAACTAAACTCCCGTTACTCTCCGGCTCACTCATAATGTCGTACAACGAGTTCAGTGTCGACAAAAACGCTCATTTCTTCTACAAGAGAGTCGCCATATTGGCATGTTTGTTTACACCGGAAGCGGAACTACGTCAACGGACTGCAGTGACCAGTCTTGGCCAGCAGGGGTCTCTCTTCTCACAGAGGAGAAAGTCACAGATGGAGTAAACTGGAAAATAGAAACAATCTGCATAATAAATAACATTTATCACAGTATGATTGTAATTAAGAAAAAAAGAAAAATAATAAAGACTTGTTCATGTTAATTTTCTGTTTAATAATGGAATGTTGATGTAATACAGCAACGCAAAGTCCACAACAACAAGCCTTCATTTCGTGACTCATTTTAATACTTGAATTGAAGTGGGAGCTCTTATCAGCGCGCACACACACACACACACACACACACACACACACTTACTTAATACCCAAATGCCTCACTGCACACATTAGGTATTCAGACACACACTTAAAAACAAAACAACAAGCTGCAAACGTGCAAGTGCATGCACATAAACTCACATTAAACCCACGCTGGTTTCAGACAGACACAAAACACACACACACACACACACACGTCTGCTGCTGTGTACTACCTGGAGGCAGCTCTGAACAGGTGTTCCCTCCAAAGCTGTGAGGAAACCTCTAATGAACTCTGCAGCAGAAACAAGTGCTTTCACACAATTCTCACTTTTTTCCTGAGAAATCCTCCTCCCGTCTGTGTCTCACCCTCCAACACGTTTTAATCTCCCTCTTTTCACTCTCTGACACTTTAATAACCCCCCCCCCCAGGCATATTTAATCCCCATACTTTATTTGATGAACCGTGTTCTGCTCTTTGCTTTGTGTCATAAACCCTTCAAACGCTGACAGGCTGGTGCGACCTGCCGCTGTCTCCAGACAATGTGAAGACTTATGGTGAAGTAAATATATTTATATAACAGCAAACATGGGTGTTACGTCAGACTGATGTAACAGTGCCTCAACGGGATTTGATCCCCACTCAATCAATGTGTCATTTCTCACATTTTATTGATGAATATCCAAACAGAAACACATCAGAGTCATACAAAGATTTTTGGGAGCAAATGTTTAATTTATGTGTACGTTTTTTCTTTTGTCAATATGAATGAATATTGCTTCTTTCATTCTTGATCCTGGAAGTTTGGCTGCAAACTCTGATTGGATTCAATGGGCTCTACTTTGTGCCTCCTTGTCTCCTCGTCTCCTCGTCTCCTCGATCCCCCGGCTCTGAAAGCAAACCAACGTCCTAAAATGCATCTCGAGGAGAAAGGAGGCTTCTTCTGAGGAGCTGTAGGTGACGGAAAACATCGGTGGAAGTCTTTTCGGCACCGGTGACGAATACAAAGAGGCGTGACGATGGACAGATGATGCAGCTGTTGCCACACGTCATATTTACTTGATGTCATTTGGTTAAACACCCGTTACCTCGGCTCCTCTCTCCTTCGCCTCCTCCTCTCGGTGGGACCAAGACGCGACGGGAGGAAAGGAATCAAGGACGTACAAACTGGGAAATGGGAAAGGCCGGACGTGTAGTCTGCAGGAAGCTAAATCTTAGCTCAGTGTGTTAGCATGTAAACTAAACTTCACAGCATTCCATCCAACAGCGGGAGATATTTCACTTAAAACAAAACAAATGTAAACCTCATGGTGGAGCGAGAAAAATCACGATTTTTCTTCTTTGCAACATCAAATAAAATAGATTTGACACCAATGCGTCTAAAATACTGAACACATTGTGGGTCACAATGCTCCGTATCAACGTTATTGGGCGGCAAGACGGATTATTATTGAATTAAAACAGGTAAAGTTGGATTTATGGTTTTCCCCTTTTTTCTTTGTCACTCTTGTTCTCTTTAAAGTTTACCCTGACTGCTTCCATCAGCCCGTAATATTGGACTTATCCATGTAGAAAGGAGACATTAATACTCCTTTCAACAGCTGCCATGTGCAATAATTAGCCCCACTGCTGCTAAGTGAACACAACGGCTTCACAAAATGGACGCTGCCTGGCACAGCAGCCGCGGCGTGATGTATTACTGTCCATTAAACTTGTTTTTATTCCCCTCCACACTCCATAAATGATCGGGAGGAGGGAGGGAGGGAGGGAGGAAGGAGATGGAGGAGAGAAATGAGGCACAGAATAGAGAAAGTAGAAATCTGTAGGAAAAAGGATAAATACATGAGCAGTGAGCAGAGAGGAGGGAAAGAAAACCAACTTGCTGAATTAATCGCTGCAGCATTTGGCTGCAAAGTGTGAAAGTATTTAAAAGGGAGAATAATGTAAAGCTGCAGTTCAGTACAATGTCGTCATTTAAAAGGCCGGACCGTTTGCTTTCTTCTTCTTCTCTCCTCGTTATCTTCCCTCCTCTCTACTTTCCTTCCTTTCACCCTCAGATGGAAATGAACCTTCAGAGAGACAGAATGTTTCACCACTTAACATGTGGGCGTCCATGCTCATCTCAGAGTGCTGCTGTGACATTTAAATATTTAGAGGAGTGTGAAGTGTGTCAACAGGACCGAGCATCCATGGAGAGAGAGAGAGCAAGAGAGAGCGAGAGAGAGAGCAAGAGACAGAGAGCAAGAGAGAGAGAGAGAGAGAGCAAGAGACAGAGAGCAAGAGAGAGAGAGAGAGAGAGAGAGCGAGAGACAGAGAGCAAGAGAGAGAGAGAGAGCAAGAGACAGAGAGCAAGAGAGAGAGAGAGAGCAAGAGACAGAGAGCAAGAGAGAGAGAGAGAGAGAGAGCAAGAGAGAGAGAGAGAGCAAGAGACAGAGAGCAAGAGAGAGAGAGAGAGAGAGAGAGAGAGCAAGAGACAGACCATCCTCTGCTCCTCCATCAGCACCTGGTACGCTGCACACACTTCTTCTATGGTTGCTAATAAAACAACATAATTGGAAAAGGGGGATACTTCAATCCTTTTAGTAAGTGAGACTGACTGTGAAAAGCACCGGACCGTAGAGGAGGAAGGTGGAGGTGATCAACAGACATTAACGTGAGCTGAAACAAAGTGTGGGTCATTTGATTTAGTGTAAAACACACTAAACTCTGAGGCCTGACGGAGCTCCAGCTCCTGTCCCAGTTAACAAAGAACATCTCTCTCTCCACATAAAATCCCAAATCCCCTTGGCCCACATTTTATCAAGTAAAAAAAATAAAAAGTCAACATTGCACCACCACCAAGGCCATGCTCCATTTAGCGAAATAAAAAAAGAAGCTGTAGAGCCCTTGGCCCATTTAGTCAATGCTGAACACATCCATAAAGAGCTTGTACTCACATTCCCAAGGAGCTCTGCATTCCTGCAGGGAGTCCCCGAAGCACAAGGAGGATTAGTTTGATTCCACCATCATGCAAAGAGCCGTAAGAATTAAGAGGTTTTCATTCTCCGTGCACCAAAAGCCTGAAAGGGGCAACAAATAAAGATGCACGTTGACATCTTTGGCCTTGAAGGCGTGACTAACTTGCATTTCCTGGTCCCTGCAGCTAGGGGGAGGTCTAGGTTTACCGCTGAGCTGCGCTCTGCTGCTGTGTCGTCTTGGTTGGTCTCTTCACTGCAGCAGAGGAGGAAGAGGAAGAGGAAGAGGAGGAGGAGGAGGAGGAAGAGTCCGGCTGCTCACGCAGAGCACAACTCACTGCAGCAACACAGAGATCACATGTGACTGAAGTGCTGCTGGAAATGTTAGGCGGCTATTTTGGAGGCATTTGGAGAATGTTCATCTTGCTGATGTGATGCATTACATAGTTTATGATATAGTGTTCTTGAGTAGTGCAGACTTCAAAGACACTCAGAGACGAGTGTTAGAACCCTTAAGGTCAGAGATCATATGATACTGACTGAGCGTGTGATTCACTATAAGCACCAGTCTTTACTGACACCACTATGGGCCAGCTGTTCTCATCAGAAGAAGAGCTTTGTCGGGTGAAGGATGCGATGGGTTCCTTCCTCTACGACGCCATGTTGGAAGGCGGAGCCGTGCCCGACCTCGGCGTCAGCCACCCTCTCCTCCTGACCAATCACGACGAGAGCCTCGACTCCAGGGCCCGCCTCCAGAAACACCTGCGACAGGTCAATACAAGGGCCAAAAGGAGCAACATGACCACCACAAAATGCAGTTTAAAGTTGCTCTTGAGACGGCGATCTACTCGCCTGGCGTTTCTATTTCATTGAGACAGATGGTGAGAAGCACTGCGCCGGAAATCTGTCACCATTTCATTTCTGTTCATTTCAGCTGCAGGGCGACATCGGGAACAAGGTGCCGACGTACCTGAAGGACCTGATCGGTCGTCTGGCGTCCTTCTCGGACGAGCCGCGCCTGGCCGGCCTGGTGGGGTTGGCGGTGACCGTGGTGATGGATGTGGCCTACACGTCGTCGAAACAGTCGGGCGTGAGAGGGAAGTCTGCGGGGTCGTCGTCAGGCCAGGTATAAATATATATAATCTACTGTACGGAAGCCCTGAGAGGACAGTGACAAAATAAATATGGTGTCTGATGTCAATAGTTTTTTCTCTCTTGTGTTTATGACTTAAGGTGTAAAATAAAGCGTTGTTGTTGTAGCACTCATTTTGGCCACAAGAGGCTGAATTGCACCACTAATCTAACTTCTAAATATGACTAAAAGCATTCATGTTTTTTTTTATCCGGGTGAGTTTTAAGCTCTCCATGAACTCTAAACACAAGGTCCATATATCGTGTGTTATTAAGCAAAGACAATTAAAACTCACCTGAAAGAAATATGAATGCTTTCAGTCATATTTAGAACACGGGGTCGTGGTGCACTTCAGCCTCTCACCACATTTCACCTGCATGAACCTTTTTTGTCTTTACGTTTTTTTACAGAAAAAATAATTTAGAAAGATGATCCTACCAAACCTTCTTCTCACCTGTTCTTAGATCATAAACAGGAGAGAAAACGATTTAAAATGCTTCCCCAGGATGTGTTCTTTGAACATTTGTTTTATGAGCCGGCTCATGAATACTGAAATCTTGATTTTGAACTCGACACGAAAGCGATGAAGCACCATAGAAGGTTTAGCACAGCTAAGATCAATGCATCCAATGTCTACCTCCAGCAGAGAGTCTGGGAGCTCCAGGAGGTGATGGAGGAGTACCTGAAGCGCTGCAGGATCAACCTGAGTGACAAAAGCAGGCTGATCCAAGACTCCATCAGACTGGAGGTCCAGCTGAGCTTCACCCTCACCCAGCTGAAGACCTGTCTGCTGGGGGGAGACTGTGACTCCAGGTGTAGTAGCGTGGTGTCATGCAGTAAAGAACACTAAATAGTTGCATGGAGAGACGAGAAGACTGTTCCCTGCTCCTCCAGGTCTCTGAGGCACTGGGCCAGCGGAGCAGCGTTTCACACCCAGATGTTGGTCCACCTGGCTGGTCTGGAGGGTCGGACTGAGCCGCTGGATGCAACGGCTGTACTGGAGCAATACAAGGAAGACCTGACCCAGATCATACCCGCTTACAGGTAACATAGTGGTGACAGCAGTCTGCTAAATGCTGCACCATGCAGACGTCAACGTTGATTTATTTGTAACTAGCTTCCATACTTAAGTTCTTCTTCAGTGGTTCTTTTAACTCAAACAACAATCTTCTCCTAAACCTGACTGAAGTAGTTTTGTTACCTAAACTTAACTAAGTTGTTTCCTGTTTATTTTGAAATGTTGTATTCAGGTAACGAGCAGAAATTGACACGAGTTGCTGGACTTTAGTAGGAAAACAAATGGGGCTGCAAATTTGCAATGACTTGGAGAAAAAGTCATCACTTTTAATGACTATTATTATTATTAAAGATGTTTAGGCAGCAACAAATAAAGTTGCATGAGACGTTCACGGAGCCTTTTTCCTTGACGATGATTTGGTGGAGCTGGAGACGCTGTGGATGGACAACCTCTGCAGGAAGTGGACTCCACAGCTCTCGGTCCAACTAACAAAACCCTGAAGATTGTGAGAGCATGTTGTCAGACAGCGAACAAGCAGAGGCTCTAATAAAGCCCTGACAGAGGAAACCACAGCAGACAGCACCCGGCTGTCTGCGAGACCAGCTCTCCATAATTTAATCCATTATTAATCATCATTTTTTAACATATGTAATTTATTAAATTGTACACATTTTCAAGACAGTTTGTCCTCAGAGTGTCACAGTTCAATCAGCCACAGCGTGAAGTCGTGGTCCGTGGAGAACGACCCTTTCAGACGACTTCTGTTTGGTTAAAAATCGCCCAAATCGTAAATGTAAAGGCTCTTTATGAACTGCAAACACTGCAATGCGTTCTCTGTGTGTTTTGTGTTTTCGTCAAACGTAACCTGAAGCATTCGCGGCCTCTTCGGTTGGTTCCCTTCTCCTGAGTTTGGAAGTCGTTCTTCTGACTTCGGTGTGTTCATGAGCTTTAGGTCGTTCAGTGGAAACAACGTGGACGGTAAAAAGGAGAGGATATGTTGTACGGCTGTATTTTTATTGCTTCGGGCATTATTTTGTGTTTCACTAAAATATTGCTTTACGGTTGGAAACCAATTTTTCCGACACCATATATTTAAATAAACTAGTCAGTTTTGAAACCATTGTCTGTTCTTCCCCATTTCTCCCTGTCCTCTCCTTCTCTTCCTTCTAGGCGTTATAAGTCGAGTACGGTGTGTGTCGTGAAATGTCGGGGGGGTCTTCTGGCGTCATGCGATCAGTCCAGCGAGGCGCCGGAGGACGGAGCCATGACGGGCCTCACTGTGACGGACAGAGAGACGGGGAGGACTGTGACCGTCCCTCTGTCGGCCATGAGGACGGAGACAGGTACACCTTCTCCAAGGAACAAAGAAAACTACTTTTATCAGTCAAGTTACATTTAAAGGGACAGTTCACCCCCAAAATCAAAAAGATGTATATTTTCCTCTTACATGTCGTGCTGTTATTCTAGATTACTTTAGTGTGAGCGTTTCGGAGGTATCGGACGCAGAGATGTCTTCTTTCCAATATAATGGAACGAGACGACACTCGGCTTGTGGTGCTCAAAGCACCAAAAATAAGATGAAACGGATGAGATGATGGATGAACTCAACACTAATGTCTCTGAAACAGGGACCTGGCTACTGAAGGTAACGCACAAACCTTGTTGTGAGCAGTTAACGAGGATTTTTAAAAAGAAAAATTTATCTTTTTGGCTGTTTGAGCATCACAAGCCGAGCGACATCGACGGACAATATCTCCAACACTCTGCTACTCACACTTAAATAATCTAGACTGAGTAATAGCCTCACATGTAACAGGAGAAATATGTGTCTTTGGTTTTGGGGTGAACTGTCCCTTTAACTGACCTAAACCGAACTCAACAGACAGAAGAAGAAGAGTCTCTGGTCCTGATGCCACCTCTGAAACCACGTCCTCCTCCATTAACCTGGACCTCATCACCTCAGATCAGTACGCCCAGGCCTACCTGCACCATCTGTTCTCTGATAAGGGACCCGTGGCAAAGCTGGAGAACTACTTCATCAAGGCCGGTGATGATCTGAGGACACCGAGGACTGAACCGGGATGTACGAACAAGACGGGGGTGAGAAACGGAGGAGAGCAGAGTGATGGAGTGCATTTAAGAGGCCGCGCGGAGGGCGTCGATGGACAACAGAGAGTGGACGGAGGTGACGGAGACGAACGAGACGAGATGCAGGAACGTGAGCAGAGAGATGAAAGCTTGCATCTGAGTATTGTGGAGACGCAGCCGGACGAGAGCCTCCATCGCAGCGCAACAAGCTCATGAAAGTCAGGACGGGATGAAGAGAAACAAACTAAACTCTGCAGCCTCGTTTGTAATTCATTCAGAACCCAGTTATGTTCCCAACACACAAATGAAATATTATAACGGCGGGTTTTTACTCAAAATGCACTCGAAAACCATTAGCAATAAAATAATAATTAAATATTGTATGATGTGTGTTTTTATTTCCTGTTCATTACAGTTGTCGGAGAATCGGAATGCGAAAAAACACCGAATTAAAAATGACAATAAGAAGTCTTTAGTGACCTTTTTAACTTGTTTTATGTTGCATGAAAGGTGGCGTCCTGAGTTTAATATCCTGCGTAGATAATCAATATAGATGATTATAAGATGGTTGCAACATTAGAAAATCAATCAAAACAGTATTTCCCTTCTGGTGACATTCCTCGCCCATTCCAATGGTTGAAGCTAGAAATCTTCTATACGACACAATATCGTGTTTAAACACAAATGATGTACTTTAACAACATGATTAACGGATCAAAATGTGCCTTACTCTTCCTCCTCGCCTTACGGGCGGCCATGTTTGCTTAAAGGGGGCGTGGTTCTGCTGCAGGCCACTTTTGATGACGTGGCACACTGTGATTGGCTTTCAGACATCCAGTCAAATAGGTGTGTTTATTTGGGTGGAGTCAGATGACAGTAATCGTAGATCTAGACGTACTAGAAAAGTTAAGACAAATATAAGCTTTGGGTTTCAGTGTGATGTCTATTAAAGGGACAGTGTGTAAGTGTTAGTGGCGTCCCCTCAGCTCAGCCCCTCCCTTTCCAGGGTGGTTGAAGAACTACGGTGGCCTTCAGGTCGGGAAAGTTATCTTTATGATTTTAGTATAGTATTTGATCAACTAGCGTCTGCAGAGCTCCAGGCTCGTGCACCACTCCCGTGTCCATCTTGGTTCAGCATCACTTCTACTTCGTATCTTAGCGTGCATGTTTGAGTCATTGAGCTCCCCTCCCGTCCACCAACAGTCGTCTTTTTGGGTATTATGAAGTACGTCACTTGTCCTGACTGTTGCTTCGTCACGTGGATGCATTTATTTCATGTGTCCACCACGAATAAAGCTCTTAACTGACTTTCCTTTGGCATTATTTTCATCCTGAGCGACACGAAAATAACAATTAGTGAATAGATTGCATTACGTAACTATTTGCTGACCTGCGATGATACTGTGCTGCATATACAGTATGTTCTAGCTGGCTACTAAGCTAGTTTCATTGTGCTTTCATTGAGATCAGATCAGAGTTCAGAGCCGCTGCACGCTCCACAGCTCTACATGTCAATATGTCATTTAAATCTGTACATTAATAAAATAAAACCGAGTGGTATTTGTGGTGCCGACTAGCGGCGGCGGCAACGTTTAGTCGACTAACTGCACACAAACGTCCAGATGTTTGAATGATCAACCAGTCAGAGTCAAAGCAGCTGTTTGAGTAAACTTCTGATGTGAATCCTGAATCACAGCAACACTTCTGCCTCACCTTGAATATGAACATGAAGGCGCACTCAGCTCGGCCTGCGACGGAGATGACAACATGCTAAATGAATTCTTCTTCTCTTTGAAATCTTGAATCCACATGTGGACGTGGATCCTCACATCGGCTGATGTGTGACGAGGTCAGTTCTGTAACCGCGTGCTATACTGAGACACACATTCATATATTTAGTATCAGTGTGGCTCGTGAATATAAACCTGAGCTTTTAATGACGTAAACATACTTATCTTAATATAATGTAGTAAAACAGTGACGTACTGAGCTGCCTTTTCAAAAGCTTGGATAGATTCTCTTTCCCACATCACAGTCTTGTTACTTTAGAAAAGTGGACTCAAATCACACGGAGACGTCTTTCTGGTGTCCGCTCGACCTTTCGTCCTGAATGTGAAAAGAAATGCTCAAAGAAGGGACATTCTGAGTGACGTCCACAGGAGAGACGGGACTCGTCGAGTGTTTGTCACTCAGAAAAGGTTGAAAGAAGATGCTTTGTCTCTCAGCATCACGGTGGGTGATGCAGCACAGGAAGCAGCTCTTATGTGGCGTCGCTGGCAGCGCTGTGTGAATGTCAAGAACGAGAGAGAGTGTGTGTGTGTGTGTGTGTGTGTGTGTGT